CTTGAGGATGACCAGTGGGGGGCAAGAGGCAGGGCTCAGCACACAGTTGCCTGGGCATGTGCAGATACTGAAGGTGTGATCGCGCATTGCCCTACCCATCTTTACAGTTCCTAGGGGGTGCTGGTACAGGCTCCCACTGTGATCCATTTATGAATTACTGTGATTTTGTGTATTAAAATGTTTGTAAAATAAAAAATTTTTAAAGATGTCTAATTGGACCACCCACGTAGCTCAGAGCAAAAAAAAAAATCAGCCTTTTAATATCAGCTAAGGTAGAATGATTTAATTTCACTATGTGTATGTTGTATGTGATAAATACAACATCTAATAAAAGTCTGGTTCAGGCAGCTGCAAATAAATCTGGTGAGCTAATAGACATTTAAGTATCTTTTCCCATTTACTTATTACTTATTATGTGTATGAGTGTTTTGCCTATTGTATGTCTGTGTAACATGTGAGCAGTGTCCATGGAGGTCAGAAGAGGGTGTCAGATCTCCCTCCTGGGACTGGATTTACAGACTGCTGTGAACTGCCCTGTGGGTGCAGAATTCTGAACCTCTGGAAGAGATCAGCTCTTAGCTGCTAAGCTTCTCCAGAGATTCAGCTTTTGTCTCCTTGGTGGTGGTGTCTTTCCTAATTTTCTTCCCATCCTGATCAAGCTGAATTTACCCTTTCTTTACACTTGTTAACTATTGTGGGGTTGTCTATTTCTTCCACATAACATCCTAGAGATGGGTGGGTATGTGATCCTACCATGTAACCCTGGGTGACCTGTAACCTGCTATGTAGACCATGCTGGCCTGGGATGTGTGGTTTTCCCCTCCTCACCTCTGCAGTGCTGGATTACAGTGTGTATTGCCCTGCCTGGCTTTTCCACATATCTTTAAGATTAAGAACTGTGGGCTGGAGAGATGGCTCAGTGGTTAGAAGCACTAGCTACTCTTCCAGAGGTCCTGAGTTCAATTCCCAGCAACCACATGGTGGCTCACAACCATCTGTAATGAGATCTGGTGCCCTCTTCTGGCATGCAGGA